TTGTAATGAGGCTTTAATGAAAGTATAATAGTGCTTCAAGGTCCTGAAAAGTATGCCATAACACATAATTGCATGTTTTGTTCTGGTTTTATACTTCAGTTATAAGTAGTGATACAGAACCACCTTACAGCTACTGTGAAAACTATGAGCTACCACAGGCTGCAAGGGTAAAACAATGATAAAATAACAATAAATCTTCCAAGCATTTAGATTGTCACTTGGGTGTAAATCCGATCCGAATGATTCATTCCCCTGTGCTAGACCGAAAAAGTGCGAACAAATGTCATAAAACTAAATTACAATCGCTGGACCACACACAAGATCTAATTTCAACGCGTTCAAGATGCATTTTACCGAAAAGCTGCTACAGATTTTTCATCGGCGTGACATAAATTTATTCGGCGGTGTGAAAGGTTTTACTGCGGCGGCGCGCCGACTCAATTTCACCGGCGGCGGTGGCGTACGAAAATCGTCGGCGGCGGCGGCGTGGCGCGGTGGCGCACAGGTCTAATCTGCGTATGCCTGCGGCCTTCGTTGGTGTGTGTGCTTGGTTGATGCTCGGCACTCAGCTATACACGCAATGATGGATGAACGATGTAGATGTAGAGACGGGTGCTCACACTCGATGATGATAATACGTGAGCGGGTATGCGTGACCAAGTAACGATTATGCGCTAATTGGTTTTCGAATTGCCAACCGCACCGATTAATCTTTTCTTCCGATTATGCCGAAAATCACACTTTCTTCTTTGAAAAAATTCTCACTTTCGGATTAATTTACCGGGAACTATGTCAGGAATCACTAAGCGTTAGCGTTAGCGTTGTTATGATATACTTCGTAGATTGGATACTAGCGACACTCACGTCTCTTCTGAAATTCTCAGTTAGACTACTTTCAGGAATAATGCTGGGGAGTAAACATTGGTTCCAATCTAAACAAGAGTAACAGAAGCATGACTGTCGCTATTCCCGGCCACGCCCATCTTTACCATAACTAGGGATAGGGAAGGAAATGTTGATCTAGTACTTACTTAACGAGAGGCCACCGACTTAGCGACACCCTCATAAGTGCTACGGAGTTGGAGGGTTGGGTAGGGTATTCGGTTAGGATTCACCTGGCGATGCAACCAAAAGAATTTATTGTTTATATTTTATTGAAATTTCTTGGATTTTATTCCAACGCTAATTGCATTTTCATAATGATAATATGGCGACAGAGGACAGCAGGCAAGAAAAACACTAAGTGCAATTTCTTCAAATGTATAATGCTTACATTGGATGAAAGCAGAACAGAAAAGCATAATGCATGATTTTATTTCGAGCACTATTTTGTTTTTACAAGAGCAATTCATTTTTAATTTGAGGGGAAATGTATATGCCTATTCTTCGGGTGCAACCGATGAATTTTACAAACATTTGGGAAAGTTTTGAATGGTACATTAATCTTTATGAAAAGTTATGCGTGATTTCAACTTTTTTGTCCTAGAACTGTCACCATTCCAAGATTCGAAAGTGTCACCCCATGAATATGCGAGCGAGAACGGAAGAATTATAGAGATTGCTGACGTTTTTCTTACTCACACTACGTCGCGTATACGTATACACGAAATGTTTGCATCAGGAAATTTGTTTCCACAGCGTAAAGTTTTCCTGATGAAAACAAATCACTGACATAATCGCACTTTAGCAATCTCTACTGTCATTTTTGTTTTTGATTCAGTTCCAACCCGTGTGAACCCGAACTTTATGTCAGTGCAAACCTTAACCCGAGCCATGTTACAAAAACGAACGATCACCCTAACGTTTGCTAGTAAACAAAAAGATCCTATCTTGATACCTGATTCAGGTTGGAACTGAATCAAAACTAAAACGACATATGTTAAATGCTGTCGGTAAGTATTATCCGGGTGGGAACTAACGATTTTAAATTGGCCCACTACTTGACTATTGGTCCCAAGCAAATTGATTAACGTACCCCATTCTAGTCGAAATTCTACTACTACACTATGTTTGTTTTGATTCGCTATGAAAGTTTGGCAGATAAAATGAGGGGTTCGTCGATTTTCCATTGTTTCGAGGGGCGCATCGATTAGCTTGGGATCGTAGATAGTACCAGAGCTGAGCCAAAAAATTGAGCACGTTTCTTCGGGACCTACTAGCCTTAGAGTTACCTCTATGGTATTATTCTTTATCTGGTGCTTGAAATTGTGGTTTAAGGAGTGTTTAAGTTTTAAGTGATGTATGGCTTATAATTTTTTTCAGGTTAATCTGCTGCGGCACACAGTGGAGCAAAATTGAACAATTTGCGAGCTACTTCTGTGAAGAACACAGGTGATTGAAGTGGGAATCGTAAGACATTAAACTGCAAATAAATAACACAGTCGTCAAAACGTAGTAGAAACACAATTAAAAGAAAAGCTTCTGAACCAACATGCTAGTTCCGAAAAGCAGCAGATGGTGGCAAAGATACAGCAACCCCGTCAGCTGCACTCTATAGAAGTTAGAAGTCGTTCAACCGATTCCTTGGCAGTCAATCCATGCTAGCAGCCAGCTGAAAATTCATTACCATCGATCATCCATCATGACATCGTTAACCGCATCACCCGTAAATGTGTATTGAAAAAATCCTTAATAAATTGAAGGCGAAAAATGATTTTTATTGCAGTCGCTAGAGTGAGTTTTCCTTACAAAGCGATGTGTTCACATTTTTGGGCTCTTAATACTAAAGGGGTGGAGGAGGAATGTTTTGCCACTTTGGTGCCAATATTGTCCATTCACAAGTTCTGTAAGGTCCACTGCTAGGGTAGTTTTAATAAATTTTTTTTTGTTATAGTCACTTTTCCGGGGGTGAGGTTTGAACTCGTGCCTTTGGCATGAGAGGTATGGATGCTAACCGCTACGCCGGGGTCGCCTTGTCTCGTTTTAATCAATGGTCTAGGATCGCGTGACAGAATGTCCGATAAGCGAGTATTAAAAAAAGGAAAGAAAGTCTTCAATGCTGATTGTTGAATTTTTGTGACCAACCACGACTGTAAATCTGATAAGAGACGCAAGTTGGCGTAAGTATCATCCTCC